CTATTCATTGACAATATATTTCGTTTCGTTCAAGCAGGGTCCGAAGTCTCTGCCTTATTAGGTAGAATGCCTTCTGCAGTGGGTTATCAACCTACCCTTAGTACGGAAATGGGTTCTTTGCAAGAAAGAATTACTTCTACCAAGGAAGGATCCATAACATCGATTCAAGCAGTTTATGTACCTGCGGATGATTTGACCGACCCTGCTCCTGCCACGACATTTGCACATTTAGATGCTACTACCGTATTATCAAGAGGATTAGCTGCCAAAGGTATTTATCCAGCAGTAGATCCCTTGGATTCAACGTCAACTATGTTACAACCTCGGATCGTTGGCGAGGAACATTATGAAACTGCGCAAAGGGTTAAGCAAACTTCACAACGTTACAAAGAACTTCAAGACATTATAGCTATCCTTGGGTTGGACGAATTATCCGAAGAAGATCGTTTAACTGTAGCAAGAGCACGCAAAATTGAGCGTTTCTTATCACAACCCTTCTTTGTGGCAGAAGTCTTTACTGGTTCTCCAGGGAAATATGTTGGTCTAGCAGAAACAATTCGGGGGTTTCAATTCATCCTTTCCGGAGAATTAGATGGTCTTCCCGAGCAGGCCTTTTATTTGGTGGGTAACATCGATGAAGCTACCGCGAAAGCTATTAACTTAGAAGAGGAGAGCAAATTGAAGAAATGACCTTAAATCTTTGTGTACTGACTCCAAATCGAATGATTTGGGATTCTGAAGTGAAAGAGATTATTTTATCTACTAATAGTGGACAAATTGGGGTATTACCAAATCATGCCCCCATTGCCACGGCTGTAGATATAGGTCTTTTGAGAATACGGCTAAAAGATCGATGGTTAACGGTAGCTCTTATGGGCGGTTTTGCTAGAATAAGTAATAATGAGATCACTATTTTAGGAAATGGTGCGGAAATTAGTACTGACATTGATCCACAAGAAGCTCAACAAACTCTTGAAATAGCTGAAGCTAACTTGAGTAAAGCTGAGGGTAAGAGACAAGCAATTGAGGCAAATCTAGCTCTCAGACGAGCTAGGACACGAGTAGAAGCTATCAAAGTAATTTCCTCTTAGTAGTCAATACATTCAATCAAAATAAAAAGATTGATTTCTTATATACTACACACTACATCTTGATTCCACAAATTGACCACAATAAAGTCTAATTTGATTAATCTGATGATAGAACAGAACGAAAAAAAGAGGATGAGTAGAAAAACTTATTAGATACCATGGAATCCGGTATCTAATAAGTTCTACCTACTATTGGATTTGAACCAATGACTCCCGCCGTATGAAAGCAATACTCTAACCACTGGGTTAAGTAGGTCATTTATCACCACAAAAAGGGTCTCCATCACTTCGATGGATTATAGGTAAAATATGTTTTCTAAGCAATATTAATCTTTTACCAGTAAACATAAACAGATCAGAGAGTTATCATGTGAGATTATGGGATACTGTTCTTGACAAGAAATTGTCTCTATATTAAAATGGTTATGACAAGGGCTATAGCTCAGTTAGGTAGAGCACCTCGTTTACACGTGCGCCAATGTTTTTCAAAGGAGCTCATTATGCAATGACCATAATTGATCTTTTTGAGAAGTCGATGTCTTACTCCGTAGATTCGAGAGAACAAGAGAAAAATAGCCTGACAAATTTGGTTTTATCCGGTTCAAGTGCGAATTCCGGTGCTAAATCAAATATAACCTGCCATTATAAGGTAAATGCTCAGCTCATTCAATGCCAGGCATAATGAGTATAAGGATCTCAAAAGAACCTCTTTTCGTCCTATGAGCTTTGAGGTGTATGAAGTCTCATATTTTACTCTTGCAGCGGAGCGATAGAGACTGCATTTCATTTAGATTGATCTAGGCCGAAGGCAGACCTAAATAAAGGTCACCCTTCTTTGAAACACTTTGGTATTGCTCCTAGATCAGGATACAAATAATGAATCAGAGCACATGGAGCCATCTCAATATCTTCTTATCTTCCTCTAAAGAAAACTATAGAAAACTATGGTGGACTAACTGATCTTTACATCAGTTGATGAAAGAGCCCAATGCAACAAAATGCATGTTGGGTCTTTGAAACAGTTCGAATCATTTCGATAATAATAAGTTTTCTCTGTTTTACCGAGAAGGTCTACGGTTCGAGTCCGTATAGCCCTAATACATTCCATTTTTGTTTTGTATAGAAATTTGAGTAGTAGTAGGAACAATAAAATAAACACAATAATTAATTCCAACGGACCTAATTGGTATTTGTCAAATCTCGGATCAAATACCCATCTATCTTCATCCACTTTCATGAAGAAATTACATATTTTCTTTATCATTTTTTTATTCTTTTTCTTTTTTAAATTGAATTTCTTCTTTACTATATTACTATTACTTATTACTATAGTCTATTACTATAATTACTATCTATAATTATTCTAAGTTAATAGAAAAGTTAATATAAGATAGGGAATTCTTTACTTTCACTTTATATTTCTAAGATATAAGATCAATATGAAATAGAAAAAATATAGAAAAAAATCTATAAAAAAATATATTAAAAAAATAGATAATTATATTAAAAAAATAGATAATAGATATATATAAATATATAAGATAATAAGATAATTAATATAAGATAATTAAGATATAAGATAATTAAGTAGAATAATTAAGTAGAATAGAAAATAAAAAGAACTAAGTATAAGAGCATTCTATATTAAACATCACATATAGAAAGAGAATTGAAAAGAAAAAAAAAAAGAAAAAAAAGAAAAAAAAGAAAAAGAGAAAGGTATGTCCTACAGCAAACAAACTTTAAACTATGCGGATCAAAAATCTTTTATTGTTTCATCTACGAAGTTCTATATGATTTTCAAATTCCAATTCAAATGAAATAATTCAACCTATTCCACATTCATAGTTTTATGTTTCTGTTTCACGAATATGATCTTTTCTGGGCATTTAGAATAATATCATATCAAGCGTTATTCCTATCTTGACATTTGTCATTTCTGGGATTTTAGGGAAGGTCCATAAAAGTTTCCTAGTTATGAATCAGGTAGAGAGCCAATGGGGGATGCTTGGGTACAATTCCGAATTTGCTATTAAATGTTTGCTCTAGTTTTTTTTGCTGTAGAAACGATCTTTCATTATCCATGGACAATGAGCTTTGATGTATTGGGTGTATCTGTATTTATAGAAGCTTATAAGCTTTCATTCCCAATTGTGGGTTCAGTTTATGCATGTCGAAAAGGAGCGTTGGAATGGTCTTAGCTGAATCTTTAGACAATCAAAAGAAAAGGATGACATTGAAACATTTCTTAATTTGGTTGAGTTTCCATTACTTAACCAAATAGCCCCAATTTCATTATTTCAACTACATCGAATGATCTCTCGAATTGGTCAATACTTTCCAGTTTATGGCCGCTTATCTATGGTACCAGTTGTTTTTTCATTTAATTTTATTCATTAATAGGCTCGCGATTCAACTTTGATCATTATGGATTGGTGCCAAGATATAGAACTGTATATCAACAGGAAAATCGATGTTTTACTACTAATCACAAGTTTTACCTTCGACGCAGTACTCATACTGGAAATTACGATCAAGGATTACTCTATAAATCACCATCTACTTCAGAGATACCTTTTGGATTTGCAATCTTTTTCAAATCCAATCTTCCTACGAATTTGTGAATAAGGCAGGGTTCCTTTGTACAAAATAAGAAACAGCGGTCAATCATTAAAAATTTCATTGGTCAATGTTAAATATTCATACAAAGAGAAATGTGGGAGAGATGAAGAAGATGCAGGTTCATTTATCTGATTGGCTAGTCAAGCATTAGTTAATTCATAGATCTTTAATTCCCGAGGATTGGAATTCCATTGCTGTCATTTCATATGTATATGGTTACAATTATTTACGCTCCCAGTGTGCCTATGATACCAGGCGGATTTTTAGCTAGTGTGTATCACCTTACGAAAATACGTTATGGTATAGATAAACCAGAAGAGGTATGCATAAAAGTATTTGCTCTCCGGAGTAATCCTCAAACCCCGTCAGTTTTCTGGATTTGAAGAAGTGCTGATTTTCAGGAATGGAAATCTTATGATATATTGGGATTTTCTGATAAGAATCATCCTCGCCTTAAACGTATCTTCATGCCTGAAAGTTGGATAGGCTGGCCTTTAAGTAAAGACTATATTACGTCCAATTTCTATGAAATTAAAGATGCTCATTGATTGAAATTGAAACGAAATCTGGAGTCGTGTCATACGTGTCATATAAGTAAAATAAGTAAAAAAGGGGTTTTTTATCATTCAATGAGCATCTTGGTATTCCTCTTCTAGAGGAAAAACAAAAAAAGTAACTGGACTTTCATTCGTATTGCGGAGGGACTAAAATAAAAAAAAATGAAAAAGAAAGTAAAGAATATCTATCCCGATCCGTCTTAATGAATTAATTTCATTTGTATGAGGTATTAAGAAATATCTATCCGATACATTATTAACGTGTCAGGAACCAGATTTGAACTGGTGACACGAGGATTTTCAGTCCTCTGCTCTACCAACTGAGCTATCCCGACCATTTCCCGTGCATCATCCTAGCAGAGTACTTTTATCTATGTCAATGAAAAGAACGAAAAAAGAAAATCTTAACAAATTGGCTCTAGCCCCTGAAATTCTTGGATCTTCAAAAAGAAGACTTTTTTTGTAAATGTAAGGAAAAAGATATAGACTATGAATGATTCAATAACGGAGATTCCTTGAACATATATCTTCATATCGTATTATCCAAAACAAATGAGATTGGATTGGAAAAAAGATACGAGGATTTAGATTTGGATCTATTTGTGAAAGAACAGAGTGAATAAAATGAAAAAGATATTTCATTTGGTTTAAACTGAGTCACTGATGAAAAAAAAATGAATAAAGAGGATGAGGATAAATAAAGAGCGAGGAAGTAAAATGGGCTTTTTATTGGGGATAGAGGGACTTGAACCCTCACGATTGAAAAATTCGACGGATTTTCCTCTTACTATAAATTTCATTGTTGTCGGTATTGACATGTAAAATGGGACTCTCTCTTTATTCTCGTCCGATTCAATTTCAAAAGATCTATCAAAAATTCTGGAATGAATAATTTGATCATTGAATATTCGAATTCTATTCTTTTTTCAACTTCAATTGGAATTGATTCACAATAACTCTTCAATTTTTCATCTATCTTTTTGATCTCTATCATTCTAATAAAAAAAGAATAGAAATATAGGGTTTCTTATAGATCCTTATCTCATACTATTATATTACTCATATTTGAGATTACTCATATTAATAATATAATATTAATAGAAAGAGAAGATTTCTATTTTCATATAGAAATTTCAAATTTCATATCTAAATATAGAGATACAAAATAGAATTCGATATAAGATTTGGGTTGTGATTAATCGTTTGCTATGTCAGTATGTATACGTACGTCTTAGGTATATAAGACGTATCCTTTCTGTCATTTCGATAGAAGTCTTTTAGCTACTAACATAACGTAATCAATTTCATTCGTTAGAACAGCTTCCATTGAGTCTCTGCACCTATCCCTTTTTATTCTCCTTTTCCATAGTTTTTTCTCTCGAAACAAAGATTTGGCTCAGGATTGCCCTTTTTTAGTTCCAGGGTTTCTCTGAATTTGGAAGTTACCACTTAGCAGGTTTCCATACCAAGGCTCAATCCAATCAAGTCCGTAGCGTCTACCAATTTCGCCATATCCCCTTTTCCTTTGAGCCTTTGAGACAAGGCTCCGGCTGTAATTCCATCCACCTCTTTCATTTATCTTGGCACTATTGAATCCATTAGGTAATGATTCCTATATTGAAAAAGTGTATGCTGTTATTTTATTTTTTTCCTCTATTCTATATCTATTCTATATTATATTAGAATATTATAAGAATATTCTAAACCCTATTTTTTCAATATAAAATTATTTTATCATTGATCTATCCGCAATTCAATATGGATAGATATATACCACATATATATCTATGCCTTTCCTACTCCTTCATTTTTACAGTGTCGTTTTGAATAGTGGAACGGTCGATATTCATTCTTCTTTTTTTTTCATTTCGAATTCTAATTTCATTGATATTTTCTTTTCATATTTCATATATATGAATATGGAATTGAATTTAGATTTCTATTTATATATCTAAATATATCTAATTTATCTAGATCTAAATAGTTTTCTTTTCTATTTTCTAAATAGAATCTAAAATATATAACTAATATTTAAGAAATAGAAGAAATTGAAAGAATCAATAAAAAAAAAAGAAAAAAAGAATAAGAATCACTAGGAAATAGCTAAGATCCGATAGTTTCCTGTATTCCTATACACTATTGCTCGTATATCCGCCCGCTTAGCTCAGAGGTTAGAGCATCGCATTTGTAATGCGATGGTCATCGGTTCGATTCCGATAGCCGGCTCTTTTTTTTATCTATTTTTTTATTTACATGATTTAAAATCTCTACTCTCGCTTTCTCTAAATGTCGGATCACCGATCTATTATGTCATGATAACTTGCAGCTATAGCTATAAAGAAAAAAGTTGACTAGAACAATTAGATCTCTACAGAAGAAATTGGAAAACGTAACCTTCGCTTGAATTTCCTATATATACAAAAAATCCGAATATTGATAAAATTTAATTGATCAAATTTATTTTATTCTGTTTTGTAGGACTTTAGTAAATTGAGTTTTGCTTTGCTGATCCTTTAGTTCAGTCTGATTTTAGTTCAGTCTGATTTTATATATATTTTTTTTTTCAAATAAAAGTGAATCAAAAAGGAGCCTTTCTATGTCTCGTTACCGAGGACCTCGTTTCAAAAAAATACGCCGGCTGGGGGTTTTACCAGGACTAACTAGTAAAAGACCCAGATCCAGAAGTGATCTTCAAACCCAATTGCGCTTTGGAAAAAGATCACAATATCGTATTCGTTTAGAAGAGAAACAGAAATTGCGTTTTCATTATGGTCTGACAGAACGACAATTACTTAAATATGTGCATATTGCTGGAAAAGCCAAAGGGTCAACAGGCCAGGTTTTACTACAACTACTCGAGATGCGTTTGGATAACATCCTTTTTCGATTAGGTATGGCTTCGACCATTCCAGGAGCCAGACAATTAGTTAACCATAGACACATTTTAGTTAATGGTCGTATAGTGGATATACCAAGTTATCGTTGCAAACCCCGAGATATTATTACTACGAAGGATAAAGAAAGATCGAAAGCTCTGATTCAAAATTATCTTGTTTCATCCCCCCGCGGGGAATTGCCAAACCATTTGACTATTGACTCCTTACAATATAAAGGATTTGTAAATCAAATAATAGATAGTAAATGGATCGGTCTAAAAATAAATGAGTTGTTGGTCGTAGAATATTATTCCCGTCAGACTTGATTCTAACGAAAATAAAAAAGCAAGGTTCATACCAATTTTGACTCCTTTCGCTGAAGTAAATAGAGTACCTCGTGCCCTGTCTCATTCACGTATCAAAAAAGGATCGGCAATAGGATTCTTTTGATTTTTTTCTTCTTTTCAATATCAAGACGATATTTCTATTTTTATTTTCGCAGGTATTAATTAGGGATAGATAATGTCTATTAAATAAGGCGTTAAAATGATGATATCAATTCTTATTTTCTTTGATACATTATAGTAGGTAACGTTGATGAATGAAAAGAAACGGAAAGAGAGGGATTCGAACCCTCGGTAAACAAAAGTCTACATAGCAGTTCCAATGCTACGCCTTGAACCACTCGGCCATCTCTCCTACAGAATGTTATTCTTGACCAAAACCCGAATCAATAGCGAGTCCTTCATCTTAATTATCTTAATTGTAGTACATGTATGACTGCCCGATGCGATGGTTCCATAAGAAGAAATTTATTTTTCAATTTCATATTTATCAATAACAACTTCTTTCATCAGCTAACCCATGTAATTCATGAATCGTTCGATGAATCTTTTTATTTCAACTATTTCAATTGTATGGTGTGGCACATACACGTTATGCAAACAAAAAGGATGGTTACTTTATTTGAATTTGATTGAATGATTATTCTATTCTTTTTGGATCATAACCAAATCAAAAATTCTCGAGTTATAAAAATCCATAGAAAACTTGGTTATTCAACTTAGATGAAATAGTAATAGTCATGGGTATACTGGTATACTACAAAATTGGAATGAAATCTAATCTGATTCAACTATTTCATTTCATCTTTGTCCAAAAGACCGCATTTTTTCCAATAAGTCTGTTTTTATGTTATTTTGTACTGTACAATTCCTTTTTTTGTGGGATCGTTTTCCCCGAAAGGGGATGAGAAGAATTATAGAATGAATTGCTAATTATGCCTAGATCTCGAATAAATGGAAATTTTATTGATAAGACCTCTTCAATTGTAGCCAATATTTTATTACGAATAATTCCGACAACTTCAGGAGAAAAAAAGGCATTTACCTATTACAGAGATGGTGCGATTTGATTTTTTATTGTTTTTTTTTACCCCTCAGTTTTACGAGGAAAAGAACGTAGTTAGGAATAGAAAAAAAAACAAATTAGTGAAAGAAACCTACGCTTGGTGAAGGTGAAGTTTAGAGATAGAGCAATTCCTTCTGTCGTGTATCCTCGATTGATGCAGCCTTAGATGCTTCAATTATCCATTTTAGTATTGAGCGAAAGGTTACATCTATAGGTTCTTTCTTTATTGGAGGTCAATACTACTTCATTTAGTACCAATAGGTGGCATCGGGGAAAAAGCACTACACCTAGGAATCAACAACACAAAAACTTTGTTATAAAAAACCCTTTTCCTTATTGGTATCGGGACTAAAAAGAATGGTTAGGAAAACAAAGATCCATCTCATTCGTACTTTTGGTACCCGTATAACCATCAAAGACCGTTGAAGTGACTAATTCCTGGAAATAATAAGCGTTGAGTACAAAGAAATCTTTGGAGTTACCTTTTCTATCTAGCACTAATATGATTGGTGTTAAGAAAAACCTCTTGTGGGAAGGCTGGCTAGGAATTTCTTGTAAAAATACCAGCTCCTGTCAGTTCATAATGAGAATAGTGAAATTTTTATTACATGAATTATTCCTCTTAGTACTATGCACAGAAGGGAGGAGCCGTATGAGATGAAAATCTCACGTACGGTTCTGGAACGGAGATTCTTTTACTAGAATGAACGACCGTAACGGATGTCGGCTCAATCCGAAGGAAATTATGCAGAAGCTTTACAGAATTATTATGAAGCTACGCGACCAGAAATTGATCCCTATGATCGAAGTTATATACTCTATAACATAGGTCTTATACACACAAGCAACGGAGAGCATACAAAAGCTTTGGAATATTATTTCCGAGCACTAGAACGAAATCCATTTTTACCACAAGCTTTTAATAATATGGCCGTGATCTGTCATTACGTGCGACTATCTTCACTATAGAAAGAAAAAAAGATTTAATTGTCTAGTAAATACTAAAAAAAAGATAGGCTTTCTACATAGGAATCGTCCAAAGTAACGATTTTTATAAGCTGTAGCAAGGAAAAAGACTTCGCGAGAACCAAAAAATCGGAAGAAAGAGGTATGGCCTATATACTATACTCTATGGATAAAGAGTCTAATTGGTAGAGAAAGCACCGTAAAGATCCATTAGTAAGCTATTATTTGGTAAATACAGTTCAGAACTGCTTACTTATTACGGATAAAAAAAGTAAGAAATCAACTTATGTAATAGAGTCGATCTACTAAAGTATTGAGCAGCGGTGTAGCATCAGATCCCAAAGATAGTAAGTTCTTTTTTCTTAACGGAGGAAAGTCTTTTTCAAAGATTCTATATAAATAGAAATCTCATATACCATAGATGAAATATGAAACCGAGATAGTTACCTTTCAGAAAATCCTAACGATATTGAGGGATATCTATGCTTCATTCTTCTGAAGGTAGGAGAAAAGAGAAAACTAATCATTGATTCAAATTAGAATTGGAAACTTATGCAATAAACATCTTCTGCAAGAGAAAATAGAATAGATTGATGAGAAATTTCATTTAGTTAGCATAGATTAGTTAGCATAGAATAGAAGATGGGATGCAAAAAGAATCGATTGCTGAGCCGTATGAGGTAGGAAACTCTCAAGTACGGTTCTAAGGGAGGGAATTTACTAACCTATTCCGACCGGGGAGAACAGGCCATTCTACAAGGCGATTCGGAAATTGCGGAGGCTTGGTTCGATCAAGCTGCTGAGTATTGGAAACAAGCTATAGCGCTTACTCCAGGGAATTATATTGAAGCACATAATTGGTTAAAAATAACAAGGCGTTTTGAATAAGACCATTCTCTTTTTTTTATCCAGCAATCAAATTAAAAATTAAATAAATCGTTCCTATGATAAGATCCAATCAAGAATTTTATTATATCCCTTCTTTCTAAGTTTCTGAAATCATTTGATTTTGTACATCTTCTACGGTATTTCATAAGGATAAATGCTACAAATACCATCTAGCATAGAACTAAGAAAGCTATTTTGATGAATCTTATGAAGTCTAAAATTGAAAGAATTCTTAATAAAAAAATAAAAGAAAGTAAATCTAGATCTTCGCCATTCAGAATCTAAATAGAAAGAAGTTAGGTTGCAAAAAAATCATTTTTTGTTATCCTGATCCTGGGAAAGCAAGAGAATAGGTCCCTTGAGCACCTATTCTTTATG